ACCGGAGAGTACATTATTGTTTAAATATATGCGCATGCGAGAGGTAACTAGGATACTGGAATGTCCAGGTGGATTAAAATAGCTGCTCACGATATGACGGATTACGATAGCTATATTTTCTGTACATTTTCGATGTATTACATTTGTGGTAATACATGTTTTATTACAAACCGCCTATGTCATGTCAGAAGGTCGTAGCATCAGTCTCGCTATCTACAAGATGAGACTTGAATGGGATCTTGGCATGATGTTGCCACACAGTACTATGCGCGTTGCAAACCCCAAGTAACGTACCTCTGGTAATACCGGTATAAACAATTTGAAATGAAAACGAACAAGATACAGTGGATATCAGCCGATAACACCCCCCCCCCTTCCAACCCCACAGGTTAGGCGCACAGGTTGGTATATTTAAACCCCTTTACATCAAATTCCGTCCTACTACCTAGTACATGTACTCTGAGATGAGTACTGGGCACCACGTAACCATGTGGGCACTGATTTTCAAACTCAAGGCCGAGGTGCGGACTAACATTTGTCAGCACGTCCACGATAAGTGTCAAACTCGACGCTTGGTTCAAATTGTTTGACTTATTATGATCAATTTACCTATTGTATATATAGATAGTATACTTACGACAATTAATCTGAATCTCGTGAGATATTTATAGTTATAAATCCAGAGAATCGAACAACAACACAACACGGAAGAAACAAAATGGAAGTTTGTCCAACACCGCCCTCTACGGCAAATCGACAAACATGCACAGCATCGGTGCCTGAACCTCATTGTATACCATTTTTGTTGTTGGCTGGCTATAAGCCTGAGATCAACAAGGTTATACCATTTTTATTTATTCACACAATACTGAATTTGAAAAGTACAGCAGTAAGGTTACTAAAAACCACAAATCAATTAAAAAACAAAAATTGATATTCACTATATAAATACATTTCTTGTCTCTTACTTTTGTAAATATTGGAGTATTCTTTATTATTTTATGACTAATATTTAATGGAGTAAGTAAAGTTCATCCCTTACCTTTATTTATTTATGTGTTTGTTTTGTTTGTATTTGGTGAGATTACCACGTATATATGTGTATCTAGTTTCACGCGGTAATAACGCGAATAAAAATTCCATTACCACCGAACACCTCATAATCCCTACCTTTTCCCCACATAAGCCAAAATTCCAAAATATCTGTTTCTCCCAGTGTCTAGCTTGCAATTATTTGCTACAGCAAATCCTAAAATGATCGATCTCTAAGAAAGACCTACAACAACCTCAGCGGTCAAATTATATTGCCTGTAATCACTGTGAAATGAACATAAGAACTGAATAACACAATATATAGTACTTGTGTTTATGACAGTGGCTGTGGGAACACACTTAATAATTATTAATTAATTAATTGTTAATTAATATTAACATACTGTTTACAGTTAAACAAATGGACACAATTTGGTTTCCCATAATCGAACTCAAAATGACAGAATGGTGACCATTTAAATGATAATTACGCGTCAAAATCAAGTATATCTGTCATTCTGCAGTTTCTAGAATCGATTATCAACCGTACGCAGATATATTCAATTCTACTCCAAAACACGCATTTACACGCGTTAAGGCATTTACATGTCAACTTTTCTGTGGCCTAATGGATAAGACGTCGGTCTTCTACATGTTAAGTCAAACGAAGATTGTGGGTTCGAGTCCCACCAGGGGTATTTTAAAGTCCCCTCTAGGAATGGCCGAAAGATCATGACTTGTTGTTTCACCGTCCATCCACACCTGTATCTCGGACGTGCCTGTACCGATTACATTAACACTTCACAGACACAGTTTGCACAAATGCACAAGTTTGTTTCCCATAATCCACTCAAAATTACAGAATGGTGGCCATTTAAATGGCAATTTCGCATCAAAATCCAGTATAACTGTCATTCGACTGTTTCCAGAATCGCATATCAGCCACACGAATATATTGAATTCTACTCCGTCATGAAAACAAAACATGCAGTTTACTTGACACTTGTTTTTAATATAACACACACGATAAATTTGTCAAAATTGTGTTAAGGCATTTACATGTCAACTGCCTCTGTGGCCGAATTGATAAGGCGTCGGTCTCCTACATGTGAAGTCAACCGAAGATTGTGGGTTCGAGTCCCACCAGGGGTATTTTTAAATCTCCTTCCGATATATTCAATTCTTCTCTGTCATGAAAATAAAACATGCATTTAACTTGACACTTGTTTTCAATAAAACACACAAGATAAATTTGTCAAAATTGTGTTAGGCATTTACATATCAAATGCTTCTGTGGCCTAATGGATGAGACGTCGGTCTCCTACATGAGAAGTCAACCGAAGATTTTGTTTTCGAGTCCCACCAGGGGTTTTTTAAAACCCCTTCAGGAATGGCCGAAAGACCCTGACTTGTTGGTTCAACGTTCATCCGCATCTGTATCTCGGACATGCCTGTACTGAATGCATTAACACTTCACAGACACAGTTTCCACAAATGCACAAATTTGTTTTCCATAATCCAACTCAAAATGACAGAATTGTGGCCATTTAAATAGTAATTACGCGTCAAAATCATGTATATCTGTCATTATGCTG